CAACCAAGTCACAGATCCTGACCACCTGATCAGAAGTTATCATTGAAACAGCATTTTCAGATAATTTCTGCGAGTGATTTATATACCACTATTCTTGCACCACACATTTTTTTTTAAAAAGATATCTAGCTGTGATGAATAAAAAGTTTATTGGTGAGAGTGGCAATTTTCAGACTCGGCATGTGATCATTCGAATGCCACTGACAAATTGTTCCCATGTAGTTGCATTATGCAGTCATTCAGTGAGTGGGTGTATGTGATGCATGATTCTACCAATGTCACAGCAATGGACTTCACTCATTGTACCATATACGGAATCAAACCCAGGACATGAGAAATGAATGCCTTAACCACTGGGCTATCACACTGCACTTCAAAGTAGGTCAAACCTTGCCCTCCATCACCGGTGACCCAGTCTTGTTAGATGCTGCCATTATGTGTGCAGAGTTGCTTTCCTAATATGCCGTGATTCTATGATCATGGGTATGAATTCCAGAGTCGCCCCAATTATGTTTCTAGGTTTGTCAGCACCATACCCATGCTCATGGGTTCCCGTGTAAGACCTGCATCACTTCAGGGTTTCCTCCCACATCAAGCTAACATTCCAAAATACTAATTAAACACTATCACTGAATTGAACCCAAATCACTATCACTTTTTTTATCATGTTTGACAAAGCAATCATAAAACTGTCAACACATTACTACAATTACATAGAAGTCATACTGCCATAAAGACTTGCCGATCTTGGGTAAATGTATTGTGTTGGAGTTTCACCTCGTGTAAACATCATCATAATGTACACACAATAAAGTTCTACAAACACAACCTGGTGTTCAATGAAAACCCATAACAAATACACAGCTCACTCACACAAATGACCATCCTCCAATCAGTTAACTGACTATAAAAGTCCAGTTTCCAACTAGGCTGGTATTATGGAGTTACATTTTGGCTGGACTAACGAGTCCATGCAAAGTCCAATCAAAATCGTGCATCGAAATCAAAATCTGGTTCGTAAACTGTCGTGCAGATTTTGGTCGATTGCAGGATTTGCAAAGCATGTGCACAGCCAACTCGTTGTCAACAGATATTTTCCAAATCTTTTCATGCTCACGTGATTTGATGCATTTCACGATGTAAGACCTGTTTTATCACAATATAGACCTTGATTATGGATCAGATCGTCTTGACAAATGACCACATGATAATAACATGAGTGCTGGTTCTGGGTAGTTAATGAGATGAAGCAATGATCTGAGATGAGGAAGCAAAATATGAGCACCAGCGTGGATGTTGCTGTTGCGCCCCACCTTGTCAACGCCGGTCAGTCAGGCAATCAACTCATTACCTCATTCACAACATCAATGACTGCCTGGTCATTTCTTACGATGTAAATAGGTGAGGTGTGGTGAAATGGGGTTTAACACCATGTCCAAGATCATTGCACTTATATGTGCATGTGGCTGTTTGTACTAGTCTGGACTAAAGCCGATTTCATAGAGCTAGCCCACTGAGATACCATGCCGCAGTTTAACATGAATACCTCACTCAGATTCTGTATACTGACTCCGAGCCAACCTGTCCTTGTTTTTAGCACCTTAATGGAGAGGGCCAGTACTCTCTTTTTACGTCTTTTGGTATGATAGGCCAGGATCGAACCCCGGCTCTACCGCTCTCTAGACGGACGCTCTACCACTAGACCATTGAGGCTGTCAGTATGTAAATCGAATATTAAATGATGAAAGTGATTCCTAAGTATATTTGAAAATATTATTGTTACTTTCATTTTTTTGGATTGACTTTAAATTTATGGAACATTTCTATTGGACAATGTCAGTGTTGGTGCCCTGTCTACTTGCCCGACCAGGTCTACTGAATAGCCTTAACTGTTAATATACAAAATATTATGAGCTGAGCATGTCAGACAGAAAGAAATTGCAGTAGGTAGACTAGGGCTTCAGGCTAGTGCCTAAAGTCGCAAACTGAAAGTAACACAACTAGACCAAGTGAAGCGTTCCCCAAGACAATGTAGGTGATGAATCACAAACTACTAGAAAGAAAATCAGCCCAGAAACCTTTGCACTGAGAAGTAAATGTAGCTAGTTGTATTTTACATTAACTATAGCTCATAAACACTTCACTCCACATAGGATACCAGGCTAGCCCTCATTTTTAATGCCATTTACAGGCACAAATGACTGTTATAAATGTCCCATATCCACAGGTTTTCATCCCACTCACTTGACAAATATTAAATTTGTGCAGCTTGCAGGTCAAATACCTGTGTCATACTGGAACATGATGTCTCCATTCATGCTGGCAAAGGGATATCCTTCAAAGTCAGTAACAATTGGTGAGTAACTGTGAGGTTTAATGCACATATCAGCAAAATTACAATCAATCACTCCGTACACAAGTGGGTTGCATACAATATGCACATATGTTGAACGAGACAGTTTCTCCCTCAGTGCAGTTGCACTAGCAATCAGTTATCTGACAGTCCCAACTCAACATGACACAGGTGCACCTCCATATACTACATCTTGACAGCCCACCCACTGCATTTCACATATGCCTGTCATGCTATGGTGCAATGTGCAGTCCCTCCCCGGCCACACCTGTGCAGCGCTACTCCAAGTAATCATCAGGTGCACTGAACGATGGGTTGATAAGGCCAGGGTCAACAGGTGACATGCTTTACCGCAGTATAAGTGTTTAACACACCCTTATTTTAACATTTTTCAAGTAAGTGCCCACACAACTTAAATCCCATTGCATTAAGAGCCTGGTAATGAAAGGTATAACATAAAATTTCAATTTCACCATGACATAGATTTTTTAAATTGGGTTATCTTTTCAACAATAATGCATTCTCCTGAATTTAAAAATAGTCTTATTACTTTTGCATGATAATAGTCCTACATTCATTGGAAAAAACCAGTTCACTCCATCAGCTAGACTTAACAATTCAACTCAAATTTTAAAGAACATCAACAAGTAAAAAACATAATGCAAAGAACATGTGATAAAAGCATCTGAAATCTCAAACCATTATGCCCAAATGTAATTAGTTATGACACATATCCCGCTCACTCTCTTCCAAATGGGGGCTGATGCGTGCATGAAAGCATTCCTGGTGATTTTAACATCAAGCACACATATAACCAGCAACACATTAGTAGTTGGGTATTTGGGATGACTTTCAGTTACCATCAAACACATGGCCACATGTCAGCCTAATGTCTAGTCCTCATGTTTCTGAACAGAGCAGACAGTGAGGCTTCTTGAGTACTTGTTTATTGAAGATTGAAGTCAAAACTATCACTAACATTAAGTTTCAGAAATGAAAATAATTTATCAAAGTTTTAAAAATAATTGTCTTTCAATAATAAAACAAAGTAGACCAGAGAATCGCGTTTCTTTGCCGAAGAGGTAATCGGATAGCATAAACAGCTTATTATCAGGTAATGAAGAAAACAAGTTGGCATTATTCTGCACAAGTAATTAATTAAAAATGACCTGAACATACTTTAACTTATATGTCATCATATCTTGTTGATAGGTCACATTCATAATAAAAGTATTAGCCCTATTTTCACTGTGAGAGTGTTTCCTGTTGGGGCAATGAAAGCAGCTAAAGGGAAGTAACTTGTATTTTGTGTTTTACAGAGTAAGTGCTTCTATAGCAGTGGTAAAACATGGCTCCAAATTATAGTGATATATTTTAGCCAACATCAACTTTTGCAAATGGATATACTGCTGGTATCTGATCAATCATGACAGCCATCAATCCTGCCACAAAGACAGACATAATCTTCTTCCATTTTCTTGCTATATATATTCCTCATGAGATGACAAGATTAGTTAAAAAGTTGTGCTAAGACATTTATATACACTAGCTATCGCCTGGAATTATTTGTACAAAGATATTGCTGTGCACCAAATGCATGCTCTTTCTTTTCTCTTTATATATTTTCAGAAGGACAGGGGGTTATTTAGGACGGCAAACTATGTACCCATGACAGGTAAGCTGGGACTAACATTTTTATTTTGTTCAGAACTGGGAGTAAATGTATTTTGAACACTGCTTTCAATGCAGTAATGTAAAACTTAGCATGCCAGGACCCCTCTTTATTGGTACTGTTATCAGCGAAATACATATCACTTACAAAATAGCCATATTAGTTGTAGTGAGTGAGTGAGTTGTTTTACGCCGCTTTGAGCAATATTCCAGCAATATCACGGCGGGGGACACCAGAAATAGGCTTCACACATTGTACCCATGTCGGGAATCGAACCCGGGTCTTCGGCATGACGAGCGAACGCTTTAACCACTAGGCTACCCGACCGCCCCCCATATTAGTTGTAACTATAATAACATGTATTGGGAAATTTTGAAATCTAATCTAGGAATTTTTACTTACAATTGCTGCAGATTTGAGGCCTGATATTGGCCTCTACAGGCTCTAGATAAATCCCTCTTGCAACATCTGGAGCGCTGGTTTGTTTATTTGTGGCTTGTTTAATGCTGCACTCAGCAATATTCCAGCTATATGACAGTGGTCTGTGAATAATCGAGTCTGGACCAGACAATCCAGTGATTGATATCATGAGCATCATTCCAGGCAGTTGGGATACGATGACATGAATCAACCCTGTCAGTGAGCCTGACCACCCACTAGTCACCTCTTACGACAAGCATGGGTTGCTGAAGACCAATTTTAACCCCGATCTTCACGGGACCTGCAGCTCTGGAAAGAATAGAATCCCCAGTCATGTCCCATCCACCACCCAGTCATGTCCCATCCACCACCCAGTCATGTCCCATCCACCACATATATTTTCACTGTGTTGACAAGCGAGGCGTGCCATGGACTGATCATACAGAAAGCATGTTTGATTCCAATGAATAAACAAATACCATTCATGAACACAATCTTATTTCAAATAGCAAAATCAAAAAGCAACTGCCACCACATGAACAGAACAACACTTGCCTGGTGTATCTTCCATCTGAGACGGTCTTCCCTTTCCTTGCAATAAAACAGACATAATATGAAACTCAGATCATCTTGACTACCATGCTAGTGTGCGAAATGTGCATGTCCCATCTTAAACGGTAGAGGAAGTTACGTGTTATGTGAACCCGTTACCCATACATGGGACTACCTTGGGTGTGAGTGTGTGTGTGTGACCACTCATACACGCGAAAAGCCTGTCCATGGACAATGGATTTCTGTATGAGCACAAAAACGTGTCTATAAGATTTATTTATTAAATATTAAAACAAAATTAAGTGCAGTTATACCAGTTATCAAATTACATGAAAGGAAAATTTAAAAATTAAAATTTGTAAAAAAATGGATTTTTTTTTTTCAAAGGTGAGTTAGACTAGCGGTCCTTTTACAGAGGTATAATTTTAGTATTTTCTCAAATTCTAAAAACTTATTCATTACAGAGTTACAACATATATCTACTATTTCAGGCACACAATTGAACACATGTTTGTTATTGCGTTGAAACATGTTTACTTTCTTCAAAATGGTGCTTTCCCTTTAAGGTGGTTCCTTTTCTTCCAGATATATCTTAACTGAAAACATTTTACTAATTATGTACATGGACATTCCTACATCTTAATTTGAATCATGCCTGACATTTGCATTTTCAAAGTTATTTTAAATAAATACATAAATGGCTGTGTAAACTCCAAATTATTTCGAAGTCAAGGAATTTTGAACAATCAATTTGATATTGATAACTAGAACTGTTGTCTCATCAATTTGCATAAAGAAAACACCTTTTATCAAATCCTGCAACAGGAAAAAGATTCTATTAAAATAAATACCAGAATATCTGATCATCTTTTGAACCAGAGTTGATATATATTGGCAAGTTTGCTAAATGTACCTCTATACATAAATAACTACTGACTTGAAGGGGAGGTGGGGTGGATAAAGTGTTGGTTTGTTACAGCAAAGACCTGGGTTCAATTCCCAACATTGGTACAATAGGTGAAGCCCATTTCTGGCGTTCCCTGCCATGACATAGCTGGAATATTGCTAAAAGTGGCATACAACTATACTCACTCACTCACTGATTTAAATAAAAAATGAATATCAAACGTTTCCCTACATAGGCATTCAACTTAAATACATTTTCAAAAGAATATCAGTTTCTTACAACAGTATATCAATTGAAAAGTTTGAGCATAACACTATTACCCAATAATTTTTTCTAAAATGAAAGCATGTTGATTTGCATTATAAAAGATTTATATAGTAGTATTTTCAGTGCAATAGACTTGGAGAAGATGAATCAATGGAATAGTATACTAAGGGAGATAACTCTGTCTGGCTTACAGAATCAGGAGCAACTGATGACAACATTCTTTCAAATTTGGAGTTCTGTATGTCAACTTCCACTTCACACAGTATTCCCTTCCACCTGTTAACCTTTTTGCCTCATCTTCAAAAACATATGTTATCAAATCTGACTTTTATTCCCCTGTAAACAAACTATGAATGAGTTTGTATCTGGTATATGTAAACATACTAGCTCCACAACGTGTATTGAGATGGCACCGTGCCAGGGGAGGTCCCCCAGGAATGCAAGTTTCTGCAAATACATACATCCAGACACAAATAGATCACTTTCTTCTTTCCTATCTGCCATTAAGCCACTCTACAAAACATTAAGCCATATGATTAAGCAAGAATTTTCAAATAGACCAAATAATTACAAGCAATTAACCTTCCTAAGCCTTGTTTTATGAATGAGAGGTTTATGTAGCACAATAACAGTAAACAGGAAACAGATCACGTCATAAAAAAACTCTGCTCTATAACCGTGATAAAGCAAGAAAACATTGTTAACCGACAATGTATTCTTACGACAACCACAGGCTTAAAGAATACTCTCTGTTATTTTTTTGACACAAGTTTATTGTCTTTTAGATTATGTACCTTATTTACATTAAAGCTAAAAATGCTTAATTGAATTCTTGTGTGTAAACAAATATTACCCAAGAGAGGTAACAGAGATTTCCAAACATGTTTTGGCTTCTTTTCCTCGGCAGTTTCAAGAAGACACCAAGTGAACTTTTCTGTAATGTTCAAATTGCAAAACCAGACATAACATTAGTCAGAGAAGGGAAGATGATGGAAGCCATTGGCAAAGCAAAACAGGGCACCTCCCATATGTGCACACACGTTAAACAGTACATGGTAAAAAATAATAATATTTCATCATCATAAAATACCAGTCATATTTATCAAGAAAATATCAGCAGCTAATTGGGTCTTACTGAAATGGAAATTTGAAGTCAGATCTTGTGGAAACTCAGAACTATTGTGTAGGCTGGCTCGGGTCAAAGAATTCAGTTTGTTAGCCAGTTGACATTGTGCAACATCTCAAATATTGTGATGGTCTGAGGTGTATTTTACATCATCTTAACACCCAGATATCAGATTGCCATATTTAGACTCAAAAGTCAAGCCCTTAGTACATGTAAATCTACCTTCAGGAATACACCTGTGAACAATATTGTGTCGACTGTTTCTGAATCCACTGAGAAACATTTAGAGAATTAGAGCCAAAAGGTTTACAGATTAATTTATCCCACTTAGTACACTTTTTTAAGAAAAGAAAACCATAAGCTTCAACCAAGAAAAAGAAAAGTGTGGCAAAGCTATACATATAGTACCAGGAAGTCTACACACTGTGCCAAGAAGTATAACAGATATTTTGTTTTCTGGGGCAGAGGTGTACTGCAGTGTTAGCTGAAGCATGGAATAAACATCAGCCCCAAATTCTTCATTTTCTTCAAGTATTTGTGGAACTAGGTTGGAGTGGTTCCAGTAAGAGAGAAAACAACATCTATTTCTGTCACCTCAAGGAGAAACCTTGGATCATAATTACCCTGTGAGGTGCGCACAAAAACAAATAACAGTTTTTGACTTATTTGGACTACAGTGCACAACCACTTGTGGCCCATCAATTACTCACACTTTTAATGAAAGGTGTTATCTCTGATAGCAGTATTTTGGTACTGAAAGACTATTATACACTTATAGATTCAACACATATGCATAACAGCAGCTCGGAAAGTCGTTATGGAGTTGAGATGAGTGATGAAATCTGAAAAACAGTATCGTATCTGCTTCCATGCAGATAGTGGGTGAAAAATAAACAACCTGCTTCAAGAAGTACGAAGATAACTTCTTTTGACATTTTCCTGACAGTTCGGAGTGCAATTTACATTTTGTATTCACATCTGTAACAACTTGCAATATTTCATTCAGTACCAACACACTGCCACAGCAAGTGCACTCTACTCTATTGGTTTTGTCAGTCTCTGTTGAGAACACCAATGCTTTTAAATGCTTAAGAGAAAACTACCAATACTTTAACATGATCAAGGGAAAACTACCAATACTTCAACATGTTCAAGAGAAAACTACCAATACTTCAGTGCACTCTACTCTCTTGGTTTTGTCGGTCTCTGTTGAGAACACCAATGCTTTTAAATGCTTAAGAGAAAACTACCAATACTTTAACATGATCAAGGGAAAACTACCAATACTTCAACATGTTCAAGAGAAAACTACCAATACTTCAGTGCACTCTACTCTCTTAGTTTTGTCGGTCTCTGTTGAGAACACCAATGCTTTTAAATGCTTAAGAGAAAACTACCAATACTTTAACATGATCAAGGGAAAACTACCAATACTTCAACATGTTCAAGAGAAAACTACCAATACTTCAGTGCACTCTACTCTCTTAGTTTTGTCGGTCTCTGTTGAGAACACCAATGCTTTTAAATGCTTAAGAGAAAACTACCAATACTTTAACATGATCAAGGGAAAACTACCAATACTTTAACATGATCAAGGGAAAACTACCAATACTTTAACATGATCAAGGGAAAACTACCAATACTTCAACATGTTCAAGAGAAAACTACCAATACTTCAACATGTTCAAGAGAAAACTACCAATACTTCAACATGTTCAAAGGAAAATTACCAATACTTCAACATGTTCAAGAGAAAACTACCAATACTTCAACATGTTCAAGAGAAAACTACCAATACTTCAACATGTTCAAGAGAAAATTACCAATACTTCAGCATGTTCAATGGAAAATTCACCCTCCTTACTTTTAACTTCAAAACCTGGTTGTTCTACAAAGTCAGCTGTTAGAACACTAACTTTATTCCATGTTACAGTTTTGCTGTTCTGAAGAGGTTTAATGCTAAGATAACTTTAATGCATAGAGTGTGGGGGATCTGTTTCACAAAATGAACAATGTCTCACATTAATCACTGCAACTGTATTAAAATATACGGTGCTCAGGCCGCTAAGATTTGTTTGCTGAATAAGATGTTTCTGGGGTCTTATCTAACAATCAACTTTGACAATAATATCACTAAGATTTCTTTGCTGAATGAGATGTTGAGATTTATATGGTGATCAGATCTGCTGATCATACGTCTAAGAATTCTTTGCTAATAAGATGTTGGGATCTGCTATACTGATCAACAATAACAATAAAAATGCTAAGATTGCGTTATTGAATGAGGTTCTGTCACTGATCCAGATCAAATCGAAACAATAACTTGTTTGCCCTGACCAACCTATGAGAAAGGTCGACATACATTCATTATACATTTTGTAAGATAGCATTTCCAAGAAACACTGAGAAAACAATACCTACTCATCAACAAACACCTAACATTGCAGGTGAGGTACTGGAAAACCAGATGTCCCGGAACTGATCTGTATCACATGAACTCAACATAACTGATGACACATACATCTTTCGCTACAAAAGCAGCAGCACCTACCTGTGAGATTGACATCAAGGGAACACTCCCCAATGGACTCATCCCCTGATATGCTGCTGATGACCGATGTCTGCAATGCCTTGACTGCCCTTGGCGGCATGACGTCTAGCGACTTGGGCGGGTTGGGCTTGCCCCTCTCCTGCTCCAACTGATATGTTGAGTCCGAGATATGCCCACTGTCCACAGTGATGCTGGAACTGTTGTAACCAGACTCATTAGCTGAATCTTGCACTGGGCGAACAGCAAGAGGTTTACTTCCTCCAGGGCTTACCTCATTAGGTCTGTTAGGCGACTGCTTCTCTTTGAACTTTGAATATACATCTCTCTCTGACAAAGAGTTGCGCTCAATGGATTTCATCAATCTGTTGGTTGACTGAGGAAGCTGTTGCTGTTTTGGGGTAACAGGCCCGCTATGGTCTGGATTTGCATCTGGTAAGCCATGACCTTCTTTTGTTTGTGGTGAAATCTGGCCAGAATCTCCACGAGTTTTTGACCTGGATTTCGATCTGCCGATCAGCTTCATGAATGACCTTCTGACTTTACTCCTAGAGAAGCGATCGTTTTCATGACCATCTGACGCCCCATCACTTACTGCCAGACTCTGTGCACTCCCACTAGCCGAGCTGGACTTGCCTGATCTGTCTTTGCTGTTCTTTCTTCCAAGTCTCGGTGAAATCTTCCGGAAGAAATTGCTAATACTGGTGCTGACACTCTTCTTCATTGGGGAGAGCTGCCCATTTTCCAGGTTCTGTGTTGGCAGAGTATTGGACCTCTCTTTCCTAACACCTTTGTCTTTGGGAGGCTTACCATCAACAATCTCCTCCCCGATATGTTCATCTGACGGTTCCTCCTGTACCGCAATCCTGTAGCTTATGGTCCGGTCATAGCAATATTCCTTCGTGATAATCCTTCTCTTGTCAGTATCTCCTGTTCTACTCACTGAACCATCTGGACTGTTCTCTTTGTTCCCAATATCAATTGACACAGGACTCTGCGGGGAGACCTGTATGCTATCATGCGACACAGGAGACAGGGGAGACACGGGAGACACAGGAGACACATTGACTGAGTTTTGTTTGTCCTTCAGAATCCCGTGGGGATGGCGACTTGATTTGTCGAGCGTGTTATGTGGGGACCAATCCATCTTGTATATCTGTTGAGAGATGTCCCGCAGCTGGGAAGAATAATCAATCCCAGAATCAGCAGATCGTATTGACGTGTTCAATTTATTTGGATGCGAATTGATTGTCAAACTTTGTGGACTAGATTCAAACTCATGACTAGAAAGCTCTGTGAACATACTATCCTCTGTATCCGAGTGGCGCACAGTGACTCTCGTGTCATATGTCACTCGCTTTGGACTCTTGGACCTACTTCTGGCTCCTTTGGGCCTTCTTCCACTCCTCAGACTAGATGAAGGACTTAAGGATCTGCTTCGTCCTACCTTCTTCTCCACAGAATGGGTGGCACTGAAACTTGTTCTGTACGGCTGTGGAATCCTATAATCTATATCAAAGTCATTCACTTGAAGCTCATTAAGTTGTAATTCATGAATAGAGGACCTACTGGCACAGCGTGCCGGACTCCGCCGCCGGGTGACTCTGTCCCTCAATGTTCCAGCAGCTTCTCTTCTACCACTATCTAACACAGACACAGGGCCACTTGTTGCCATTACTGCTTGGTCAGGAGACTCTCTCCAACAAACATCCTACCAGGGATGGCCTGTCTGAAACAATGAACACAAGTAAGTCAAACATTCACAATCTATTCCATCATGAACATAAACCTACAAAACTAACCCTGGAAGATCCTACCCAGTACTTAGCCTCATAATGACAGCATTCACAGAACCACCCTGAAATGAAGAATTTCTGTTTATCCATATAATACTAGTAATTGTCTCTGGGCCTGTAACCATGAGCCATAATAAGCCGTCTTCAGCTATGGTTTCACTAATACTAGTACATTCTTTAAAAACCCTTATTACAGAGAATTAAGTCTGTTTGAAAGAATGCCAATAGACCTGTTTAGCCAAACAAAATGTTTATAGCACAGTCAGATTCTAGGGTTACCAGGAACATTTAACCTGGAGATCCATTACCCTGTCACAGTGTCTGTAACATATCTTGGTTCTTGGAGCCGTGTGCCCATCATGTCCACACAGGCTTAGAAACTGGCACTTGTCCTAGTCGAAACCAAAAGCCAGATCAATAGTTCAAGTATCCATAGGACTAGTGGAAACTACTTGTGTAAGGTTTTCATTTTCATCAATATATGGACAACTGAGTGAAAAGAGTTTCTATAGCTGCCTTATAAGACGTTTTATGATTTAGGCTGGGTGAAAAGTATTGATAAATGAATGAAAAAATATTTACTTCAGGTCAGTTGGGCTTATTTATTCATGCTACGGGTGATATATCCTTAAATCACTCTCTTCATCTTGTGGCAATCATGTCTGCCTGAACACCTTTCAAGCCAATAGTAAAATCAATAAAGTCTATAAGCCTAACAAACTGATCAGGATCATTGATTGCTTCCAATGGCAGATAGATTAACTTCACATGAAGCAAAACGAATGATGAGCTGGTTCAAGAACAGAATGTCAGTAACTAATTTGCATGTAGTTTGCAGCACATTGACCATTCGCCAGTGAGTGATTCAACCACCAAGAGCTAGATAATCACATTGTCCTTGGGGAATACTCTACTGAAACTTTCATTTAACAAACTAGTGTGTGATTTATATACAAGAATCACACGGACTACGTTATAATGTGACCTGTGAAGATCCGGGTAGAGCATAGGTCTTCAGCAACCCATGCTTGCTGTAAGAGGTGACTATGCTTGTCGAAAAGGCGACTAACAGGAACGGGTGGTCAGGCTCGATGACATGGTTGATGCACGTCATCGTATCCCAAGATGCTCATGATGTCAATCGCTGGATTGTCTGGTTCAGACCCGATTATTTACAGACCGCCGTCATAAAGCTGGAATATTGCTGAGTGCAGCGTTAAACAACAAACAACATCATCATGATGTAAATGATGTAGTCATTAATCATAATTCTTTGAGTTTCATGTTGATGGACAATCAGAGCTTAATGAAGACAAATCTACCCAAGTTTGCAGTGTTATCATTATGTGTGATAACCTTCAACATGATTAGCCACATCAGACAGAACAGCAGCCTTCTTTCATTTGACTCACTGACATAATTCTGACAACCTTTTCTTAAAGACATCAAAGCATCATCTCTCACCAGTTTACCCGTAACTGTTTTACCAGACTTAAAACATATTAAAAGTCATATTCAATTCAAACTGCAAAATTTAATTTTCTAGATGTGTACCATGAGTACAGTCATCATTCAATGTTATTCTGTCCACACCTTGGCGGAGAGACCATTGCATTTTGCATTAGCTCAACATCACAAGACCTGGCTTCTCCACATAAGGCACACGTGAAGCCTGTTATTGATGTTCCATGCTGTGACCTGGCTGCAATACTGCTAAAAGTGCCATTAAATCCTCCACAGTTAAGCAATGGGACTGGTGCCAAACGGAGCGATGTCCAAAATATTTTTGGACTGAAAATGTAACTGGCACCATTACCTATCTGACCTTGCATATCAGCAGAAAGAATATGTACCTTCTGTAAAACTAACAAAAAGATGAGGAACGTTTTCAGTTGAAAGGCCCTCTCAACAAAGATCTGAGACTGGAACTAATATCATCATCCGCCTTAGCTATGCACCCAGTATCACTAAAAATACTACTAAATCTACCAGTGCCTTCTGCATAAATTCTCTCCTATTTTATTCACAAAATGTTCATGCAAAAAGAATCTGCATCTCCTCCTGAGACCTTGATAATAGCAATAGTTGTATTATATTGTGTATATCAATGTTATTAACTTTCCATCATAACAAGTCATGTTCATGCTTTGTACCCTGGCCCCATCATCAACATCATCATCAACATCACCATCACCATCATCAACATCACCATTTCCACCACCATCTCCACCATCATCATCAATCATCATCTCCATCATCTCCATCATCTCAATCATCATCTCCATCATCTCCATCATCAACATCATCATCACTATCATTATCATCACTATCGTCATCTGATGAGCATAAAGTAGATATGTATGTGACCATAGATGTTAAATTAAATTGAAATTCAATTACTGTAGATGTTGTACACGCTGTATAAAGGATTAATCTAATTACTTCGAAAATCACTTCAATTATGATCATAAATACAACTGGTAAACACTGCTTGCCCTCCAAGCTGTATGCTAATAATAAATAATAAGATAATGAGGAGAAAATGGTGATGGACAGCCTTTTTCAAGCCCTGAAAAAATCAATATGAAAGGGTCAAGCACTGACACTTCTGACACATATGGGGTCAAGACACGGAAACATTCAAGAAAATCAATGAGGACCGAGCAAGGGACAAATTATGTGACTCTTTTCACTGTACAGCAGTGAAAAATGAGTGAACGAACATGATGCTCCAACGAGTAACCGAACATGATGCTCCAGCAACCAATGGTCCTACAAATAAGGCTACCATAAATAACTGGAAGAATCAAACTGACTGAAAATCAAAGTGGCGAGAATAGTTAATCAAAGGCAGGGCTGGAGGTCGATGTGGTAAACAATGGCAGCTGAGGGGTGTTCTATTGCTGGCATGACTTCCCTTCACCTGAGAAAACTAACAAATTGATGGTAACCAGCCCAGTCTTGATCACAAAACACACCTCCAACATACCCAAGTCTAATTAATCATGAACAACTAGACCCAAAACAGATGACAGCTTCTTTGGAATCTGGAGCTTCAAAAAGATTATAGGGTATCCTTGCTGTGTAATGGTAGTATACTTACTGAAAAGGATCACATGGTTTGTATCAGAAATTGTAATAATGATCATTTTTCACATCAGTTTCTCTTCATGCGTGATGAAAATGAGTTGACTTGATCTGGAATAACCTGAATACATTTCCACAGATTATCATCTTATAATCTACAGGTCCTTTTGGATCTTAAACTAAAACCTAGTCTATGAAAACATTTCTTTAAAATATTTGTAATTTTATTTCTTTAAAAGAACCTTTCATCTTCTGCTGTTTTCAATTGGAAACTAGAATTGGTTTTCTTTGATCTAGACTTGCCTAGACTTTTAGTATAAATTATGTGACGTCCTGGGCAGGTGGGTCAAAACAGGTATTTTTACACATTTTATCTTTTCCATTTCTGCCTATGTTTACACAAGCTGATAGTTACATTATTTCCTATCGACCAGCATCCTAGATCGAAAGGAGCATGGGGCTATTACATGTCCATCACAACCACAATGAAAGGCATCTGCATCACTTTGTTACTGGAGAAAATTAAAACGTTCTTGTACCAATATCATATCAATTCTAACAAAAAAATTGTAAGAAACTTCTATCTAAAAATATCCCAACCACACAATGCATGGATAATTCCCAACCTCCCTCTCCAACCTCCCACCTGTCAACCCCAAGCACCTGGTGATTACTGCACAGCCATCATCAAGACAACAATTCACACAATCGGTGGAAACGTCTCCCTTGCCATCACAAGAAACACTCATTTTCCATCTTTGGTATGGAAGGAAATAACAGGAAATGATTTGAGGACTGAACTATGTTGACAAGTAAAAGAGTTGTAGTATGCAGAAAATGGCATCTGCCTATTTACACCTGGGACAACAGGCACTGAGCATTAGTCAGTATATTCCCTACTGGTGGTTGTTTGTCCTGGGCGACGGCCAAGGGTCGGCATGGTCTTTGTTGTTGCCATCAGAGTATCGGTTTTGTTAGCACATGTGAGTGAAGCAAGTCAATTACAGAGCTAAGCTGAAGCTAGCACTTTAGCTAATCCTATTTAGAAGACAGTTTGAAGATGGTACATCTGTTTTTTTCAACTTGGCAGGTATTCAACTGTTTTTCGGTCTCTGGCAACCTTGAGTGTTTACAAAATCTCTGATCTCATCACAAGCATGTTAACCGCCCAGTTTTAGAAACTTTTTAACCCTAGCAATGTTGTGTGTGTAAACCACAATGAGAAATGTTTCCCCTCAACCAAAATACTTATTCATCAACCCAAAAACCTAACCCCAAAATGTGATTTGGTAGTATGCACATATGGTGGACATTTCACACCAATGTTACAGCAGGGTTCAAACAGCAACTATGTCTGGAGCAGACAAACCCATGATTGACAGTGTTGACAGTGACCCATTCAGGTCTGACAAATACTCTCACCATGAAAATTAATCAAACCAGTAACGTCCAAATTGAGGTGGTCCTACTAGAGAGTGAAAAATATGAAGTATCATTTTGGTTATTTGTTAACGTAAAGCCCCCTAAATAAACACAAAAATATATTGAACGCCATTCTTATCAATAAATAAGTCAACAATAACAACTTCACAGACTGATTATTGAATTATTAACACACACAAAATGTCGATAATGATACGAAAAATTCAGCACAATAATGTAACAGAAGCCAGCCCACTATATTATCAACCAATCAGAAAACTGTAGAAGGGCTTGGCCTAAATTATTTTTGGTTTATGGAAGCATATATGCACACATAATTGTTTGGTTAGCCAATCAAATGACATGGAACCATATGCAATAAATTTACAAAGCTTTATCTATTTCTGACCAAACCCTTTTCAGT